TCCCCCCCCCCCACTTTTCCGCTTACTGAGCAGTGGTGTGTGTTCTCTCTCTGCTGCAGAAACACGAAGGCCTTGGTGGGGAGCGTGATACAGCTCAAGGAACAGAACTGGTACAGGAACTCGTCTTCACCGCCGAAGAAACCCTCGTTTCCCTGCGCGCCGGAGCCCCCTCCGTTTCAGGTAAACCGTTTGAAGACAGTGTTTCGCGTGCTCATATGACCTTACGCAGTTGCGAGCGCCGTAAAACCCTATACTACTAACTAGCTAACTAAGAAGACAGTGTTTTTGAAAGTAGAGGAGGGATGATTTTGTGAAGCCACTGGTGGATACTGTTTCATAGACGCCACCCAGTACATGAAAAAAAAGTCCCGAGTACGGAAGCCTGTTTTTGTATTCGGAGGTCCAGCCTCTTAAATAACCCAACACCTCCAGTCTGTGGGAGAGCCACTGGGAAAAGCAGAAAAAAAATAAACTATATGAAATAAAACCCAAACTAGAACAACGAAATCCTTCGGACCTCTCCAGAAGAGACGAAGTCATTTTTACTCGATTGCGCATCGGACACACGGCCCTGACCCACAAATACCTCCTACAGGGAGATGAGAAGCCGTTCTGTGTCGGATGCGACACAGATTTTACCGTTAGACACGTCTTAACCGAATGTCTAGACTTTGGAGAGATCTGAAGGAAATATTATAAATGCAAGAAATTGCAAGACATTTTTTCCGTCGATGGTCCCAGCAAAATTTAGAATTTTATGAAGGCCATTGGCCTTTATGGCAAATTGTAAGTAAAACTGTTCTATTAAAAATTTTTATGTCAACTAGAAAAAATTGATTTAGATTGAAAATATATGTATATTTACACTGATTTTTAAACATTTTAAGATTTAACTACTGACCCAAGCCAACCGTACAGCGTACTGTTGTGAACAAGACCAACTTGTGTTTCGCGCGCTCATATGACCTTACGCAGTTGCGAGCGCCGTAAATCCCTATACTACTACTAAAATAACCCAATCGTGTAGATAGGGGCGTTAAACTCGTACGCTTGCTTACCAATTACTGACAGACAGACTGACTGACTGACTGACTGGCTGACTTATTTACTTACTTACTTACTTACTTACCTACTTGCTTACTTACTTACTTACTTACTTATTTACTTATTTACTTGCTTACTTACTCACTTACTTACTTACTTACTTACCTACTTACTTACCTACTTACTTATTTACTTACTTACTTACTTATTTACTTACTTATTTACTTACTTACTTACTTACTTACTTACTTACTTACTTACTTACTTATTTACTTACTTACTTATTTACTTACTTACTTACTTACTTATTTACTTACTTACTTACTTACTTACTTATTTACTTACTTACTTACTCACTTACTTACTTACTCACTTACTTACTTACTTACTTACTTACCTACTTACTTACCTACTTACTTATTTACTTACTTACTTACCTACCTACCTACTTACTTACTTCCCCCTGACCCTCCCAGCAAGAGCCGGTGTTCTTCAACAACTGCGGCGTCCCCTGCTCGAGGAGAGAGGCCAATCTGCCAGAGGAGGATCTGCTCGACGACGAGGCCTACGTGCTGAACGAGGAGGAGGAGGCGGCCTTCCTGGCCTGGCAGGAGGAGGAGGGGCTCACCTCGGAGCGGGGGCCCTGGGGCTTCAACGACACGGGCTACGATTCGTACAATCTGTGAGTGGGGGGGGTTGTGTATCTTTGTGTCGAGTGGGGATTGTGTGTCTTTGTGTCGGGTGGGGATGTACGTCTTTGTGTTACCATCTGTGAGTTAATTGTGTGTGTCGAGTGGGGATTGTGTGTCTTTGTGTCGAGTGGGGGGGGGTTGTGTGTCTTTGTGTCGAGTGGGGATGCGTGTCTTTGTGTCGAGTGGGGATGTGTGTCTTTGTGTCAGGTGTGGATTGCTGAGATGCCAACCAGTACGATTTTACGTATTTTAGTACGATTTTTTGCCGAAAATACGCGAATGCGGCTTTTCATGAAAAAATACGCATCCTGAAATGCGAAAAATACGAGATTCAGCTTGGGCGAGTAAATCTAATTATCTCAAGTCCCATCTTTTGTCAAAATAGTATCAGTATCACAGAACTGGAATATTTGAAATCCAAGTTCGATAAGGTCAGTAAGTTCATTTTTGCAGGTCACGATCGTGATATTATATTCGTTCAGCTTTTCCCCGTCCGGAGAGTACCTTTCACTTTCACACGAATAGGCAGCTCTGGCAGCAGGCGGAAGCGTATGTGACACCGAGGCTCGATCGGGAAAATCAAGATCTACTTTCGCTTTTTGTTATCTCCGAGAAGTTTGCCAGCGGTAGTCTGATAACGCAACATTTTGTGACATGCAGGTTGTGCATTATAAACGCAATGTCGCCGTGCAAATAAAATTTAATCAATGCTCGGGCTCGCCTCTGTGCTGTCACTTGTGGAAAAAAAAGAAAAGAAAATACAAGCGTCGTCCGATTTTTAGATTGTCTGGCTCGCCATCGTGACCGGTCACTGAACCTGCGCGCATTCACGTCATAAATAAATGCGGCATCGTGTGAGCAAAGACCGTCTCTGGTGGGAGTAACGACGTTGCGAAGTATAGGACTACGGAATAGGGGAGGAGATTATTGATTTTTGGGGGGTATAAAATACTATGGGGGGGGGGGGGTGAAGGCATCACCACAGGACAAAAACTTGAGAGCACATTTCAGAATTTTGATTAGAGCTTTCTGCAAAGCGCGCGTTGGTACAGGCCGTGTGCGGAATCAGGATCCTTCATACTTTGCAAGTCTGTTTTATTGAAATAAAGTGTTCGTGTTTCATTGGATGGGTGATAGTAAATTATACCTACAGTGTATGTTGTAGCTTTCTGTTCAAGACTGGTAGATTTTCAGTGTCACTGCATCTTGCCCTACTACAGTTGTTACAACTCTCACAGTGCATGGGTCTACTTGA